GGGGGGGGGGGGGGGGGGGGGGTTCTTGGGTGTTTCGTCGGAAAGAACTTTCCCGGAAATGGGAATCAAAAGAATACATCAACAGCAGTCATAGACCAGACGAAGAAGTGGGATTCGAGTGGGAAAAAACAATGAAGGAGATTCACCGACACCGACACCGACATACCAGCAGCTGCACACACGGCGATGTTAACGACGATCACAACCAGCAGAAAACCAATGCCACACCTGCACACAGGTAACCGGGCCAGTGTGTCCCCTCAGGACGCCCACCGACCCCTTTACGCGGTGGTCCCATGTCCTCAAAGTGCGGTCGTTGGAGCAGCTCACCGCTGCGAACGGCCCGATCTTCAGAATCGTCTGTCCTCGCGATTATGAAGAACGGTGCGTGATTTCGGAGTTTGCGCGCGATTCGGGACGGCGGACAGGGAGGGGCATGGGGGAGTGAGGGTCGGAGGGAGGAAGGGATGGAGGGGGGCATGAAAGTTGACTTCGGTGTCTTGGTGTTGAGAGAGAGTTTTGAGTTGGTCTCCCTTGATTTATTTTGTGATTATTGTTTGTTTTGCTTTCCCCCCCCCCCCAACAAAGACGATACACATGAGAGGTCGGGGCCCACACACACTTTAACTCTTGATTTTTATCACACAGAAAACTCACATCCGAATAGAGAAGCAAGTTGTAAGAAGCAACAATACAGTTGGCAACATCAGATCTGCCGGCACACACGGAAATGAAGCCGTCGAACAAGCTTGCACGGGTCGGTGGTCCGGTGATCCATTTGGTAACCTCGCAACACGCTGACGTTTGGGACGCCACTGCCCCTCGGGAAAGTACAGTGTTATAGTCACACGACCGATCCGTTTCTTTTTTCTCACGCCCATCAGCAGAAAAACGTGGATGACGTGGGTAAAGGAAATTAAACCACAATGGAAAGGGACGGCTAAAATCCTTCTCGCGATAAGGCATGCACCGCCGAGGGACAGTAGGGCAAAAAACAAAACTGACCCCGCCTGGCGCGTCCACACATGCTGCAACGTCCGCGAGTACGTGTCATCCACGTCCACATAAAAGGTGTAGCCTAGAACAGATGATCTGACATCACACGTACACCCTAACTCACCCCTATGGATCCCTCGTGCCCAGAGAACTTTCGGAGCGCTTTGCACCCGGAAGCTTCGTTGATGTCCCACAAGCGGACGGTGCAATCCTGACAGGGAGAAAGATCGGACAGAAAACAAAAAAAAAGAGAATGCAACACTTAAAAATCAAAACAAATTGCTACGACACGGAGCGAGCGTGAGGGGGTGCTGGACTCCCAACAAGGCAGGTGTAGCCGCTGGAACTGAAATTATTCCAGCGATTACAACAAACTGCCGACAGAAATAAAAGAGACCCCAACAAGAGACGAGCCCTCTTATGATTAAGCTGACCTCTGTGCTACGGAAAATGACACCATCACCTACTGTACCTCTTCTCCTAGCGAAAAAAAAGTCAACAACGGGGAGAGGGAGAGACTCGACAGCAGCAGCACCACCAGCATGCATCACTACCGCAGGACAGCACAAGACACCGTGCTTCCTGAACCACAAAAAGCCTCACTCTGTCACCACACACAACCAGCCTGAAATTCCATCTCAGCAGCGTGCCTAATGTTCTTCACAAGCAGCCACAAAAAACCGACACAAGCTGAAAGAAAAGCTCTCGCCAGCCGTCGTGGTGTACGTCTTACGCACACAGAAAAAAAAAAAACGTCTTTACTGTTAACAGGAACCTTTGCGCCGCTCAGCGCACAGAAAAACCGTCTTTACTGTTAACAGGTACCTTTGCACCGCTCAGTACGAGAGTACTACTGTCCTCTCGGAGAGCTGTGAGACACGTGATGGCCTTGGTGTGTCCGGTGAAGATAACCTTACACCTCCGAGTCCTCAGGTCCCACATTCGGATCTGGTTGTCCTCTCCCCTGTTCGGTTCGAGTTTGGGGGAACGGCAGGCGAAAGGCGTAATGAAAAGAGGCGCCACCGCGACAACACGACCAACAGCAACACTGAAAACAGCAGCAGCAACGGTAGCAGCAGCAGCAGCAGCAGCAGCAGCAGCAACCGCAGCAGTACACCACCAAAACTAACAAACAGCAGCAGCAGCAGCAACAACAACAACAGAATATTGCAAAGAACACCAAATTTATATGTATGTGCGCCTTCGCTTTCGTAACTGGCGGCGATGGCGCACCGTGTACTCGGCAACTCAACAATGCCGGTCCTCCACCACAGGAAGAGGTCATCCTTAGGTGCGATAACGTCATCAGACCTCCTCTCTCTACAATATATATATATGTCTGTCTTCTTGGATTATTGCACCCTCTTCCCCTTCTCGAAACATCCTGTAACCCCCCCCCCCCCAAAAACATCCCCGCCCAACCCCCTCATCCTCACCCGCTTACGGCTAGCCAAGGCTTGCCATCCACACGACGAGGGTGAGCCGAAGCCGCCGTGATCGGACCCTGGTGGCCCGCCAACACCTTAGCCTTGAATGTTCCCGCGTTCGCCGGTGCCTGCCACCCCAACGATATGAATCCTCGACGGGGGGGGGTGGTGCTGCTGGCGCTATCGCTGACGTTCTGATTGGAAATTCGCGGGGAGGGGGGGGGGAGCAAGTTCCGCAGAGGACGGAGTCGGGTGAGTTTTGGGTTTCTTGAGAAGGTATGTACGTATGTATGATGATCGTGCTGTGTGTTTTGTGTGTTTCGTGATTTAATTCAGCTGTAAAATGTTGTATGTGCGGAAGAAGTAGAAACAAAGCAATGTTTTTACATACAGGCGAAAGACATACAAAATAGCCACCCTGAGAACACAACAACAACAACAACGAACCTGGGACGGTGTGTCCAGATGCATCAAACTAACCAGACGAGTGAGACGCACCGCACGCGGGGGCCGGCGCTATGCAAGCAGCTAACACCCTTTCCAGACCACGCATCCCCCCGCACATTTTCACGCGCCTCAATTCACATGTCAGCATAAACTCGTTCCACCCGTCGCCAATCACCGCCTTGTACTGGGACGACGCTGGGAATACCCTCGCTACCGTACTCCATCACACTTGTTCCTATCTCTTCGGTCAGAGCTCCATCCAATCACACCAATCCAATCCCAATCCCGCGGTTAGGCACATGCACCACTTCTTGGCCCCTATTTGGTACTAGGACACAACCCCCTTCCGCACCCTCGGGGGAAAAAAACGGCGCACTCGGCATCAAACATATACCAGTACTTTTCCCGCGTGTAAGCACGGTGAGTTTTGCGTTTCGACTCAATCCGCCCTTGGCATCATAAAATTTACCTACCACTACTTGCCCTACTTGGCAGGCGCCAACCGGCAACCACGCAGCTTTAACCTCACACCTGCCAAAGCCGCAGGGAGGAGTCCGACGATCCCGACAGCACCCAGTCGTCCCCGCAGGATACCGTCGTCACCGGGCCCGTGTGGCCGCTCAAGACGCCGACTCTAGACACCAGCGACAAGTCGTACACGCTCAACTGTTGTGTTTTGTCGCCGCCATCCCCACCGTCGTTATCGTTGTCGTTGTCGTTGTCGTTGTTGTCGTTGTCGTTGTCGTTGTCGTCGTTGTTGTTGTCCATGTTTTCGAGGACGAGGGGCGATTCAGCGAGTAGAATAGAAGGAGTTAGAGCTGTTGGGAGAGCGAGTGGTCGAGAGCAGCCAGGTTGTCTCATCAGCCACGCGTGACTCTTCTTTTCAATTCGCGGACGAGTGCATTTCAACAACAGAATTGTCGCGAACCTGAGTCTTCTTGCGCACTCGACTAAACGTTGCACCCGTGACAAGACGAACGACCCGCAAGGAACCAAGTTGAGTACCAGAAGCAAAACAAACGACCCCCCCCCCCACCCCTCTGTGTCCTAGCTGCCGTCTTCCCCTCACCGTGCCGTCCGTAGAACCGGCGCAAGCTCTCGATTCGAACGCTGCGAGACAAAGTATGGGACCCTGAAATAGCACGCGTGGGCAAATGGAGGGGGGGAGGGGGATGGGGGGGGGGGGCGGATGGGATAGAGATAAGACGCGGGGTGGATGTGCTTTAGAACGTGGTGGTTACCACTCAGTGGCGAACAATGACGGACGACATTCGTGCAACACTAGCCATTTCTTCTGCTGCCGTAAAAAGAACAGAGTAGACAAGAGACAAACCAGCCGGTTACCGCGGTCGAATGCTACCAACAAAACCACCTACGCGCCCAAACGCAGCAAAGTCACGTATTATCAAACACCATTGGCGGCCCCTTCCCAACCCCCACTCCTCCAAAAAATACTCACGTGGTGCGTCGCTCCCTCCCCGTCTCTCCCATGCAACTCCACCGGCGCTAGCAACGACGGCAGCTCCCCCGGCCCTCCTGAAACCGTCTCCGCCCACCCCGATCCCTCCCCGATGCTCCCGCTGCTCGAGACGGACTTCGCGTGACCCAGTAAAGGCGGTGGAAACGACCCCTGTGGGGAGGAAGGCAGCGTCGACGGCTCCGCCGCCGCCGCTGCTGACAACTGCTTCTCCGGCGGCGGGTTCGGCGGCGGGGACGGTGACGTCTCCGCCGTCGCGCCGAAGAAGAAACGCCTCGCGAGGTCCGCTCCGGCCCCCGCCACGCCGCCGGAGGGACCCGGCGAGTACGGCGCCTCTTCTGCTTCTTCCAGCCCTTCTCCGCTAGCCGCCGCCGCCGCCGCCGCCCCTGCCGCGGCCGAAGGCGGCCTCCCTCGGACGAGAGGACGCCGCGGTGACAGCTCAGCCTCCAATGACCGCCCCCGGCCGCCGCTGCCGAACACGGACCCAGGTCCCAACGTACCGGTGGATACAACCCCGCCCCCCCCGCCTCCCGGCGACTCTGTTCGTGAGCGCGTGTTGTTCCGCTGCGGGGAGAGGGTGGAGGGAGTTGTTCGGCCGCTGCCGCCGCCGCCGACGCCGGTGCTTCTGGACGGGCTGAACGTGGAGGAGAGGAACTTGTTGTTGCTGCTGCCGGCAGCGGTGCCAGTGCCGGCGTTGTGAGGGGTTGAGCCCGGGGATCGGAACCTGGTGCGGTGGCGCAGGATGCAGGACGGAGCAGGCCAACAACGGGGGGCACCGCAACACAAAGGTTGGGGGGGAGGGGGGGTGGGGGGAGGAGAGGATGGGAAGGGGAAGATGAGGGAAGATGAGTAACTGCTTTCAACCGAACAGATTAAGAACAAAAAAATGGCAAGACAGACACACGGAAGGACAAAACGCGCACGATCGGACGCCACCGCAGCCGACGATCGCGACACAAAGAACGCGAAATACACAACAGCACGGAGACAGGCCTCAAGCTAGCCCTCGTCCCCGCCGTGCAGCCGCTACCGGTCGGTCATCGCCCGAAGCCTTCCCTCTTTTCCCAACCCAAACAGTCATGACATAAAAAAAAGGTGGTCTCTTTTCGCCCCCACATGCGCCTTCCTCCGCCCAAACAGCAAACAAAACATCCGTGGACAAAAGGAGATGAATTATTTGTTTCGTTGTTGATAAAACACACAACTATTTTCTATTTTTCGCTTCTCGTAAAGCAAAAAATGTTAAAGCCTATCTGTTTCGTGTTTGAACAAAAGAAAAAACTCACGAATTTGTTTGGCTTCTGGTCTGGAAGACTCAAAAATAAGCCCATTCACTGTGTCCAGAGTTTTTTCTCCCCATTCACTGTAAAGACTTGACTGTAAAAGACTTCAACCCATCCCGTTCGACTGTGCCTATATCTGGAACAGGTACTCTTGCTTTGATTGTACGTTTTCCTACAAAGAAACAAAAGAACTGTCAGCCAGTCTGCCACATACTACTATGCAACACCGATCGATTTGTCGAATCGATACACACACACACCTTCCTCGAGACCCAGATGCCGGTGCCGTCGGCATCCTCGGCGACGGGCTGCTCTCCGCCTGGAGCTGCTCCACCAGCTCCGACGCGCTCAGCCTCAACGACGGAAGCCTGCTCATCGCCGCCGCCCCCGCCCCCGCCCCCGCCGTGGTGGCAGAGAACGCCGAAGGCGAGGACCCCGGCCTGCCGCCGCCGCCGCCGCCGCCGCCGCTACCCCCGCCCGAGTTAGGCGTCGCGGCGCTGAGCGCCGAGGAGGTTGCTCCGCCGCCGCTAGTGGCGGCGGCGGCGGCGGGCGGTGGTGGTGGTTGTCCGGAGTGGACGGCGGCCAGGTCGGCATCGGCGTCTGCGTCGATCTTGGCCTGCGACCAGCCCGCCTGGGCGACGGACATCTCCGGGGTGAGCTCGGACCTGTCAGACGACCAAGAACCGCACGGCGGACGACGACGACGGGGACTAATAGGGTGAGTTGGGGATTTCGACAAGAGCACGGGGGTGACGGGGGAGTGCAAGCTAGGGGTGTAAAAGGGGCGTTGACAGTAGATTCTCGACCACGGAGCCGGAGGGTTGTAGTAAGAATTGCTCCTCCCGTTCGAGACCACTCGTACGTATCCGTGCAGAGATGGTACGGGACGATGATTCCGGGTTTCGCCGATAGGGCAGGGGAGGGGTTACGCATGATCATTCATTTTTTTCACGCGACAAAAAAAAACAAAAAAACTATGTTTTGAAGCAACCAAGCAAAACATTAATATATAGTGTGTTTAATGCAAATTAATTGTTTTTTGGGTTTTGAACGCCACGGCCAAGTGGAGCGTCCGTTTCACGGCCGCCACGATGTTTTCTCGGGAAGAAAAGGCACGAGAGCATGAACGGTCTTGAAACCCACCTCGCTACCAAATGTGTTCCACTCGCTACCACTACACCAAAGTGGGTGCTTGTTACTGAACAGAGGTAATGTTGCGTTACTAAATATGGGTATGACACAAAGAAAGGTCCGGCTGTTTTTTTTTTTTCACGGTCACGATTTTTTTTATTCCCCGCCCGCCGCTCAACGAATCTATGCATATGGTGTCACAAGAATCAGAGGCCAGAGAGAGACAGAGAGATAGAGAGAGTCACACTGGGACCGACAAGTAGACGCAGAGAGACACAGAGCGAGAGCGGGAGTAGAATCAGGGTGCAAAACCAGACCGTTTGCGAGGCTGTGCATCAGCCCTGTTGTTGTGTTTGCTGGGGGGCTGATACTGATGTGGCCTCTTCTTTTGTTTTCGTTTTTCCGTCCATCTTCCTTCTTTAGGTCTTCTTGCCTGCACGCGGGCAAACTTCAGCCAATTTCACGTGTGTGCCATGCACTCCCAACCATCGTATCAGAAAACCAGAGCCAAATTTTAATTCGGCTACACAAATTGCAAGAGAAATAATTATGATTTCCGGGCAAGTGCACGCAATATATCAACCCACCGAGTAAACGAAAAAAACAAAAATAGAGATGGATTCGTTGGGTAATACTGACAAAATAAAATGAAAAAAAGCTACACGCCGGTTGCACCAGAGTAAACGATAAAAAACAAAAAAAAATGGCTACACCATGACATGAATGCATATACCCGAAAGGAGGAGACCCGGGTCCCGCCATGCTTGCCACGGCGCCCCACACCAGCCGCACCGTCTCCTGTTCACGACCACCATGAATAGTTGCAGCGGCAGCGGAGTGGGTTTGGTTGACATGTCAGGGATAAAGCTTGTGTAAGCCCCAGCCGCCGCCGACAGATAGCCTCTCATCACAGGCTCGGCTGAAGCTTGTGTACTGCTACTGCTGTGGAGGAAATCCCTCCCTCGTTCCTCTTTCTCGACGCCTTTGGGCTACACGCCTTCACATACCGATGTAGGTGCATTTTTTGGCGCAGCAGCCTGGACAACCCACACGCAGATAAGAATTCACTCCGCGGTGCTTGGCTTCAAAGGGATCGGTGCAAGAGGGGAAGCCATCCTTTCCTTCCTGTCCAATCGTCGACCGCTGATGGCTTTTATATGCTCATGAACAAAAACATATCGAGTTCTTACAGTATCACGGTACATGTACGCATTGGCACCGTAATCTTCAACCCATGACTACCCAAAGTCTCCGAGCATGCGTTTGGGACCGTCGCGAGATGATACATTACGCAACAGAAGAAAAAAATGCTCATCTTACGTGTATACAATATAGATCTTGCACCATTAAAAGAGAAACTACCATGCGGGCTGCGGAGAAACAGAACAAGAGAGAAAAAAACACCAATCCTACGTAAGAAAAGCAACAATAACTCACCGACAAGCGGTTTCTGGCCGACGGCTGAAGCTTGTACTGGAGGGAGACCGCCTCGACGTAGCGCTGCGCCGTTTTCGCTCGCATGCCGATAGACGCCATCTCGTACAGGAAAACCTTCACCTGCTCATACACAAAGAAAAAAAGATAATTGTACAAATCAAACGCAAACAATAATGTGGGTTGTTTGTACAGATTTGTAAATTTTTCTCTAGTGGTTCGTGACGGTTCGCTGGGCTCTTCGAGCCAAAAGTACATCAGCTGTGTGAGTTGTTCGAATTTGAGAAACGTCACTGATGACAGCTGATTCACATCAATACCCTTCTTTACGTTCATCTTGCATGACGCCTTGATGACACTTAATATACTACTACTGCTGTACGCTCTCGCGCGCCTTGCAATAAAATAACACGTGTGGAGAGAGATCCCCTTTATGAAGGGTATATTCAACCTCCCAACGTCTGTCTGTCGGGAACGATTCTATTCCCTCTTCACACATGTGGGGTGTCGTACGCAATGCGCGCGGAAAGAAGCCACAAAGGCCAAGAAGACAAAAAGCTACGAACATTCACAAAAAAGGACAACGGCGACAAAAAAATCAGGTTTCGTAAGGACAACACGACAAGAGTAAATAGTAGTATATGGCCGTATCCACAAGGCCGGTCGCCCTGTAGTTGAAAGAGCCCCCGGGAATTGGGACGCGATGCAACCTCAGCCACCGCAGGCGTAGCCCGAGAGGACTTTTGTCCCAGAGGGGCGACGGAAAAAAAAAAAAACACCAACTTGCGCGCCAAAAAAAAAGAGGTTCGAGCGAAACGACGGAAAACCTTGAAAAAAAACGCCGCATGCGTACAAACCCTAGAGGTACGAGGCGTCGTCCGGCCGGCGAGGCCGTTCGTCTGTTCCATGACACGGCGGTTCTGCGTACCATTGTAGATACACGCGTACCCATGTTTGTTTTTTCCGCCTCGTAATGCTGTAGGCTCACGCACCTGTCGGCAGACGATCTCCGATGCCAAAGCTGGGTCCTTGAACTCCACAGCAAGGTTGGCCTGGAGTGACGTCACAGAGAGAGAGAGAGAGAGAGAGAGAGAGACGAGCACGGACACGCCACCCAACAGCAGCAATCGCAGGAACAGCAACAACAGCAGCAGCGGCATCAGCAATCAGATATCGCAGGAACAATAGCAACAACTGCAGCGGCAGCGGCACCACCACCAGCAGTAGCGGCAGCAGCAGCAGCAACGACATCAATGAACGCAACAGACCGGGTTCAACTTAAGCCAAACAAATCCTGCACAAAATGCGCACAATAGCAGCGCACATACTTAGCAGCACCGCGGTGAGCTCCAAAATTGTACTTGGAAGTAGATTTCAACCCTCAAAATCACGTAGAAATATCGAGAGGATTTGTTAAAAAAAAAAAAAAAAGCACCATAGAGACAGTGTTCCCTACGCCTCAGCCTATCAAGCCTCTTTCGTCTTTTTCTTACTCCCACCCCATTCTATCTCTTCGTCTCTCTCCTCTACATCATCTCAATTTGCTCCGTTCCTCTGTCTCTCCGTCTTCCCGTCCATCGCTTTCTCGGTGTCACCTCGGCGTCCAGCTTCTTCAGCCCCGGATTCTTGCCGAGCAGGTTCGACGCCGCCACCGCCTCGTCGGGGCTACCCGGGGACGATAGCAAGCTGCCCCCGCCCCCTTCGTCCTTGGCGTGTCCGCCAGCGCCGGCTCGCCTCGCGGAGGCAATCGAGTGACGGTCCTTGGCTATCTGTTTTTTTTTTGTGTGTGTTTTGCCATGACGTTGAAGTTGATGAGTTTGTTCAGTTGAGATTGTTGTTGTTGTTGTTGTTGTTGTTGTTGTTGTCTTCGCATTAAAAAACCAAGCCGATCTCGCCGATCTCAGTAACACCTCTACACTGTAACATCTAAACAGAACGTTCCACGGGGATGTAACGGAACGTTCCACGGGGATGTAACGGAACGTTCCACGGGGATGTAACGGAACGTTCCACGGGGATGTAACGGAAGGTTCCACGGGGATGTAACGGAACGTTCCACGGGGATGTAACGGAAGTTCCATGAAGCAAGTACCGGAACGTTCCACGGGATGTGACAGACCCATGGAGAAACAACGGAAAGTTCTACGGGGATGCACCAGAACGTTCCATGAAGCAAACAAAGCAAAGTTCCACGGGGATGCACCAGATCGTTCCAGGAAGCAAGAAGTGGAACATTCCACGAAGGAATAACAAAAAAAACGCTTCCACGAGGTGTGTCTACACATATTGCGCACCTTTTCCGTCTTAGCCTGTACGGCTTCGCTTAGCACGTGCTGCCAGAAACGCATGTCCGTGAATATCGGGTGCCGACATATCCTGGCACTCAGGAACTCGCTGAAGTACCCCGGCTGCTCCCCCTCGCCACCGCCGTCAACTCCTGCCCCCCCACCTGCCGCCGGCACACCCGCGCCGCCCGGCTGCCCCCTGAACATGTCGCCTCCGCCCTCGTGCACCTGGTCGGTGTGTGACGCAAAAAACGAAAAAAAGAAAAAAAAGGCGGGAGGGGGGGTATTTAGTATTGTGTGTGATATCCACGAGTCTACGAACCGTAAGATCCTATTTCGCACGCCCCGAAAAAATGGGAGGGGGCGGAGGGGGCACACGCAAAACCGTCACCTGGGGGGAGGTGGGGGTTATTGGCGGTTGAAACTATTAATATTTAGTCGCTTGCCAGCTGCACAGGAAGAAAGGGGGGCCGCAGACAACACAGCGTGTGTTGTGGGGGGGGGGGGGAGATACGGACCGCCTTCGCAAGAAATTAAGTTTACGAGGAAACAGAACAGGGTGGGGGTACGCAGACCCTACAACTTCCAATAGCACACTTTTTCCGACATGTTTACTTTAAGGACGAAAAACCCTGCAGAGGCTACAATTTACGAGGTAGATACACGCCTGGAAGTAGTTTCCGGTGAGCTGCAGGAGGGTGTGAGCCACCGAGTAGTCGACGCGGTCCACGCACACGCACAGGAGGGTGTAGCTGAAGCGCGCCAGGGTCTCGAAGGACGGGCCGTGGAGGAGCGTGGGGCCGCGGCTGCTGGCGTACCCCCGCTGGCTCGCGTGCCGCAGGACCTGTTCGTTGTTGTTGTTGTTGGTGGTGGTGACGTTGTGGTGGGCGTGGTTGTTTGTTGTAGTGTGATGGTGTGTATCGTTGTCAATTAGGTGTTGACACACATGCTAGGTGTACATCATATCCACCAGGGTACAAGTTAGAGCTGAGCATAGTGGATATGCTGTACATCTAACAACACAGACGTGTCAGGCGTGGTAAAAAAGGAGCACAGAGATACATACTGCATTGTGCTCGTGGGAAAATGATACATCTGGGTCAGTGGTTTTACAGGATGCATACACAACTTCACGACACATATGATTCCTACGGTGGCAGAAGATAAAATAACAGAATCAAACATTAAAAGCTACTGCTTGCACAAGGGACAGAAAGAAGGACAGGGAACGATGTGAATGAAAGCTAGAGCCGCAAGGCCGGCGCTCCATCCCTTTCCCTCTCTCGCTTTCACCTGCAAGAACATTTTCTGCACCACTGGCTTGGTCCTTAGCGTCTCCTCCACGTCCATCACAACCTCCTCCGACACCCTGTCCGATGAGTACACCGCCTCCAGACACTGCACAAAAAAAAAAAGGAAAAAAAAAGTCGCAAATAGTCGTTGTTTACCGCAACAGCAGTGCAAGCGCACGCACAGGGTAGGGTGTGTGATCGATCGATATTGAGAAAAAAATCGAACCCTTTTGGTATTCGTGTGCCACCACTTCGACCTCCGTGTCCAGAAATCGAACTAAAAAGCTTTTGATTTCTGCTCTTCTAAGAGCGCACACCCCCTGTGCGATAATCGAACGATGTTGGCCAGTAAGAAAACCTGCGAGCGTTTCGTTTCATGTACAACCAATGGGGAAGAGAGTCCCCACGATAAACCGCTACAGCATAATAGGTAGGAAGCTAGCGACGTCACGCATCCTCACTGCTGAAAGTGGGGGTAAGCGGGCCTCTTCGCACCTGCAGCAGCTTCTCGCTATCTCTGTCGAGCTCCTCGCCGTCCCCGGCCCCCGCCGCCGCCGCCGCCAGCCCCGCCCCTGCCTTTAGCGAGTACGCCCCGTGCCCGAGGCCGGCGTTGGCGCTGCCCTCCGTTTGCGCTCGGAGGGCCTCTCCTAGGTCTTCTGCGATCTGCAGATGCAACACACATTTTCGCACACGCATATTTTGCGAACAAAACACATTCGTGAACATGCACAGCAAAGACACCACGCGTGTGCGTGATGGGACGGGGGTGAGGGGGGGGGGGGGGGGGTGTACTCATAGTCGTGCATGCCGTAGTCGTTTGACCATTGACCTCGCATCCCTACAAAGCCGGGACGGAGCACGCCGGGTTCTCACCGGACCAGGCTCTCACATCACCAAGCGCGAAGCGCCGTGAGGTATTTGGCGAGTCGCATGAAGGGTGAGCTGCATCCTGCTAAGGGTGTTCGGCATCTTGTGCTTACTTCCTTGCGTACGGATGACAGCTACGTATGACTTAATTTATTTTCTGGTGCTTTCACTTCCAGACACAGTTGTATTCACTGTGTAACTGCCTCGAGGAAGCTTGACCATTTTAACACAACGTGGTGCGATCATCCCCCGTTGCGCGGAGTGAGGGTTCTCCACCCCGCACAACATGATCTACT